CACTTACAAAACTCGACAAGTCCGCGTTCCGCGGAGCATACCTTGCTCTACAACTCAATCATGCCCGTTTGTACTATCGAGATGCATTTGCGTGAAAATAGTGACATTGCGAGGTAGTACGGTACGTCAGACAAGTCCTGCCACCATTCAAACCTCTCCGTCGACTTCCGCGTCGAGCGGTGACGTAGCCATCGCCGATGCGTACATGCTGTGTGCCGCGCGGTATAGCGCTCTACGCGCGAGGCGAACCCTCAGTCGACCATTCCCTGCGACGGGTTCCGGGGTGTTGTTCGCCATGAATATGAGCAGTTCGGCCACATTGACACTATGATCACGTTCACGACACATTGTCGCGGAGTTCGGTAGCTGGTACTCGAATGTCAATCACTAATCTGTCGCGCGAGAGCGAGAGAGCGGCGGCGTGTGCGGCGTATCAAGCATTCACGATTATCACTTATATCGACAGCGCACGCAAGAACCACCTCGCGTATCCAATGAGGACTTGGTGCGACGCGTCACCGCCGCCACGTCCTTTCCTCGCGTCACCGAGGTCAGCTACGTTGGAGGACGTTGTATTCGCTATCGAGCGGTTCATACGGGCGGATGCGCACGTCAGGCGGGTAAGGGACCGCCTAGAAGAAGAGGAGGGGGCGGGGCCGGAAGAAGAGGATTACTCGGACATGCCGGCGCTGGCAGACATTTCTGAGCTCGCGGAGGATTGAGCTGTTGATGGTCCAGGTACCACGTGGTGGCAAAGCATGTACGATAGGCAACGCAGTGATTTGTTGTACGATACGACCACGTATTCTCTTTTTCGTAGCGAATTTCAACTTTTCCGGAGGCATCGGAGCACAGAGCAAGGAGCTCAGTTCCCACGGGTGCAACTTTCTCACGAACGATCTTGGCTTCATTTCAGGGGGTAGGGGACCTTGCTCGAGGCGAGCAAGGTAATCTCACTTCTGACCCTCATTACTTAGCGAGATGTCTTCCACTCAAGCAGTCCGTTACTCCAGTCAGAAATTTTGAACACACAGGAGCCCAGAAATATCGATAATCAGGGCACCCATAAAGAGCCTGTTCACGATTGACTTTCTTCACGACGAAAGGGGGAGCGTCGGAATCGAACCCGCACCCTCGTCGAGACGCGGTTTAGCTGCCAGTCCAGAGGCCAGCAATTTGCCAGCAATACGCGCTTGCACAGAAGTGTACATTCTCCAGGCAGAGAGACGGAGGTATGCGTTGTGAAGGGGTAAGTGTGCTATGCTACATTGATGGTCTAGATGGTGATGTTAAATGTCCGATGGAGATGTGGATGAGAGAGAATGTCAGAGAAGGAGCGGAGGGACGTGATCGATCTATACGAGGCGTGTTGTCGCGGGTTACAGGACTCATGAGTACTCATTCGCGAAACCGGACGATGATACGAAGTACCTCAGGCAGCCTCAAGGACCAGGGAGCGAAGGCAACTGTCGTTGTCGTCGTGGTGGAATGAACGCTGAAGGCGGCATCTCGATATCACTTCGATACCTACGAGCGTGCAACTTCAGAAAGAGCGCCCAGAGACTGCAATAGACAGGACGTACATCGGCGGTAAAGGCTCATTCGTCCCATGCGAATCCAGCGGGCCATCATAGCTCGGTGCTGCAGTCGACTTGTCCGAATCAAAGCTCGCTCTGTACCTGTGTGGCGTTCAGCGTCTACGCGACTACACAAGTGGAACTTGAACTAACGAAGGCAAAGTCGACACGGCAGCACTTTCGACGCTGTGCTGGGTGTAGTCGGGATGTGGCGCGAGATGTTCAGCTTCGATGCTACCACGGGCATCCCTCCTAACAGCGCTTGCGACATCGACAAACACAGAGAATCGCATCCTAACATGGACCAGATTGTCAGCATCACAATCTCCTGCTCAATCTCCAAGAAACGCACCTAAAATCGCTCGCTTGTGTGCGTGCCTTGAAAGATATCGGCAACAACACCGCCCGTTTCTTCGTCGCATCCTTCAGATGCCACCCGCACGCTCCCCCAATGACACGAATGGCCTTCCAATACCCCTCCCTCGCCGTTCCATTTACTCCAAACAACGCAAAGATCACACACGCAAGCACAATACTCGTCCACTGCCCATACTCCACCGTAAACTTCTGCACCCTCCCCTCCCCAAACTCCGCGTACGATACCCCAATCGGACTCCAGTTGCGATGCACGATCTCCCAGCCCAGATAGAACAGCGGCGTGTCAAAGGTCTTGTGGCTGTCGAGCGTATTGAGCGTCATGTCGATGATGGCTATGAGGCCTTGGGGAAGGGTTATGAGGATGTCGAGTGAGCCGATAAAGAGGACGCGGAGAAAACGGCTGCGGGAGACTTCGCCGTTTGTGGTGAGGAAGCGGTTGACGGTTTGGTTATGTTTGTAGAATGTCCAGAAAATGCGGGCTGTAGGCCGAGACTGGTGATGAGTATGCATTCATGAGGACCGAATGGTATGGACGGTGGACGTACGGCAATAGACTGCGATTGAGATGAGCGGGAAGATTGCGCGCCAGCTGTGGACGAGGACGATGGAGGCGAATGAGGCGTCGACGCCGGAGGTGCAGCCGTAGCCTTCAATGATGACGAAGCGGTACGTTTGCACGATGTAGTCTAGTTCGTATTCAGCTCGGATCCCAGCTGGTCGGACAGATGAATCGTCTCACAGAGCGGTCCAGCCACCAGGACCGGAAGTATGATCAAGAGCGTCACATTGAGCCATATATCGCATCGTCTCTAAGCGGCAGTCTCAGTAAATCACCGGGCGTGACCATTCGTAAGTTGAACCCAGGTTACCTGCTTATCTGTCTGGAGCGGACTCTGCATGCAGGCAATCTGGTGCAGTTTGCGTGTGATCACGAGCGTACATGCAGGCTTGACGATAGACGTCAAGATCTGCCAACGACTGACTGTTTCGCCATCAGCACTTGAATCCTTACCCCAGATAGCATCCGCTGATACTCACTGAAGTCGCAGAACGCATAGAGCTTGATATCCGCGTTATCCTTCCATACAACAGTCTCAATCGCTCCGCAGAAGTTCTCCACGAAAACGCAGACGCAAAGCACGGTGAGCCCGAAGTTCCACGACCGGCGCACAGCACTCGTGATTAGGACCAGAAGAAGGAGTGTGGATGAGAGAAACGCGAATATGGGAACGACTGGATATCCGGGCACCATGGCGCGGGTGTCTTCACCGATCGACACCCAGACGATATATGAAGGAGAATTGAAAGGGGGAACTCGGTGATGCCCTTGTTCTGATTTGGGCATGATACGCCACAGCGACCCTACCCATATAGGGACGCGTACAAGGCGCATACTTCACCGCGAAGGTCGCGATCATCATAATGCGGGCAGATTGATAGAGATGATGAAGGCCAACGAGTGGCGTGTATGATCATGGTGGTGGGAAGCAACCCGCGCGCGTCCACCGCGACGCGTCCGGCGTTCTCGATGCAGCTCTCATGGCCGCGGCGCCCACTCTCTCGCCCGATGCGCCTTCCACATCACCGCCGCCAACACGTCCAGCGGCCTCAACGCTGACGACACTCCCACAGATACTCTCCTCGTTGTCCTTGATAGAATCCGAGGAATCCGCTGTCTCGAGTGCACTGTCGGACTTGCTCGCCCGACAGGATCCTATACTCGATGCTTTGCGTAGACTGCAGGCTCTGGCTCCTGCTCTTGATGATCTGAGAGAAACTGCTGGTGCTCTGTCAGGGAAGGTCGGCGCAACGGCCCGTACAGCCGAGCGCGTTGGTGGACGCGTACGCGTGCTGGACGAGGAGATGCGGAGGGTGCGCGAGGCCAGTGAACGCGTGGGACAGGTCATGGAGCTCAAAGTCAGGATATGCCATGTATAAAGTTGTGTCGTGCTGACATGTGGTTGTATCTGTAGAGCTCATTGTCTGCGATGCAAGCTTCCATCGACGCGCGCGACTGGGAATCCGCGACGCGCCACTGCGCGCGTGCTATGGCCCTACCAGACGAAGTCATCTCAGGCGCCTTCGCCGCGACTGCTGTGGTATGTCTATTCTTCGCCGTGTCACTCAACTGCATCTGATGATGGCCCCGGGTAGCCCACCCCAGAAAGCCATTTGCCGCCAGTCCAAACGCTACAGAACGCCCGAGAGCACCTACTATCCGTCTTCCGCGCATCATTTGCGGAAGCGACCAAAGCGCGCGATGCGGCAGCGACGACACGCTTCTTCAAGCTATTCCCCGCTATTGGATGGGAGGCGGAAGGTCTCGAGGCATATGCTTCCTTCGTCGTCGACCTCGTCAAGGTTCGACCACCCGCATCCGCCAAAAGTGAGCCATCTTTACTCGAATCCAGGCTGAATGTACTGACATGAATAGCCTCAAGCCCGCTGTACTACATCACGGCTCTCACTGCACTCTTCGAGAGTATAGCTATGATCGTGGATCAACACCAGCCCATTGTTGAGAAGTACTACGGCGCCGGCAAAATGGCGAGCGTCATCTCGCGTCTACTACAAGAATGCGATCGTCTCGCGAAGGGTCTCATCGAGGGCTGGGAAGAGGAGCGGCAGATGAGGCGCAAGGTATTCAACTTCCTCATACGTCCATACATGGGAACATGGCTCACGCGAATGTAGCTCTCAGATACCGCTTCCGTAACGTTTGGCTCAACAGCTGTGTCCCCAGTCATCGGGAGGAGAGGAACGGCGCCACCTATACCGGCACCAGAAGACGAAGTCGATGCCCGCGAGATTGACAAGGTTATCACGGAAGCGGCGGGTATGGCCGGTCGCTGGAATCTCTTCCGTCGTTTCTTACACGACAGGCTGGGGGTAAGTACAACCACGCCTTTTATTCACTCATCCCAAGCTGACAATTGCGCAGAACGATGATACCTCAGAAACAGGCTCAGAACCAGACGGCACCGCCACGCCACGCCCCGGTTCGCCCGCTGCCGCCTCACCCGAACGTCCCCCAGAGCTTCACGCACTGGAGACGTCCTCCTGTAACGCTCTATTCGCCAACCTTCTCCAAACGTACTACACCCCTCTCGAGATCTGGTATCTCCGCTCCGCACTCGACAAAGCGCATCGTCTCGCCCAACCCGATCCATCAACAAGCACCACAACACTCCCAGACGACACGTTCTACATCCTCAAACTCGTCCTCGCGCGGCTACTCAGTACTGGCTCACCAAGCATTGTTGTAAGCACTTCCAGTGCACTGAGAGACGCGATGGAGAGAGAGTACTCTGGTGTACTGAGGCGCAAGATGGAGGAAGTATACCGCAACGCGGGAAGTGGCGGTAGAGGAGAACGCGAAGCGGCCAGCACGTTCATCACTCTACTCAACGATCTCGACGTAAGCGCCGGACATATGGAGCGTCTAGTGAAAGACACACTCGCTTCACCAGCGTTGGGTCAGAACTTCCTGGACGAGGAACGTACGGACGTCGTCAACGCGCTCCAAGCTCTGGGAACACTCGTGCCAAAGTTTAGGTCGACCTTACGCGCGGGAGTGGAACAGCTGTTTAATCAGCTTTTGAGGCCCAAGCTGAGGACGTTCATTCCGGATGTGTACAAGGACGTCTCGTATGTTCTGGACGAGACGGCGTATGCTCAGGCCGAGTACGCCGATGTCGTGCGCAAGCGGTGAGTGAAAGCTGTCCCATCACGAAGGCCGAATCTGATGCCATCACTATCGCAGCTTCGTCAAAGCCTGGGACGCGCTCCTCGAACCCTACCGCGACGCATTCAGCGAGTCCAATTTCCGGCTCCTCTTCGGCCTCGTCCTAGACGTCCTGATGCGACCCTGGGAGAAAACTGTTGCCTCCCTGCGCTACTCCGAGCTCGGCGCCATCCGTTTCGACCGCGACCTGCGCGCCGTCACGTCTTACCTCGCCGGCCAAACCGCATTCGGCGACGCGAGAGAGAAGTTCGTAAGGTTGCAGCAGATCGCAACGATCTTGAACCTAGATGCTGAGGAGGATGTGGACGAGTTTTATAATTCGAGCGGGATACCGTGGAAGTTGACGGAGGTCGAGGCGAGGGCTGTCAGCGGTTTGAGAGTTTAGTATTGATGGCTTGAGTTTGTCTCTATCGGATGGATTGGGGGAGGCAGTTTACATATATCCTTGTTCCGGATTGAGGAAGATCCAAGCGTGGTGTGATATATACAAAGCGAAAGTCCCACATACGAGTCTTATCCTCGCCTCAAAGCGTCCAATCGAGCCTGTAACGCGTCCTCGTCGCTCATAGCAGCGCCACCCCCAGCGCCACCCCCACCCGCATCCCCACCACTCCCTCCAGCCGGCGGCTTCGGCGGCCCGCCACCGCCACCGACCGCTTCGCCCAGTGCCACAGGCGCCCTAGTAGTCTCGCGCGCAGCAGGCGCCGCCAGCCCACTCGGCGCATCTGTGAGTTTCTGCGACAGATCCACGCCAACTTCGTCGAGCACTTGTTTCAAGATAGCGTCGCTCTCCTCTTCCTCGTCTTCGAGATCGTCGTCCATTACGTCGTCTACGGCGTCGTTCATCATCTCTTCGCGCATGTCCATTGTCGAACTCTCTCGCTCGAATTCTTGCATTATGCGTTGGATCTGCGGGAGATTCATGTTCCTATTCATGCCCTTCATCGCCTGTAGCACATATGAGTATGATATATGCAATGGGAGTGTGGTAGGGCGTACCCGCGTTGCGCCGCGCATGGCCTCCGCCATCTGCTGGTTCGAGCGTAACGTCTGTATACGCAACCCGACAGCTTGCAGCTGCGTCTTCATCTGATAGAACTTCTGAATATATCGTCGTGTCCTGACTAAGTCCTTCGCCATGACTTTGCACGCGTTCTATAGCCGTATAAGTCCTCGTGTACCTATCAATAACTGTATACGGGTGAGACGTACGATCTGTCCTGCTTTCGCACTCTTCTTGATGTCACCGATGAGCTTCTTCTCACTCATCTCAAGTTTTGACCGTTCGCGGTCGAGTTCGCGTTGGGCTTTGGCGAGTGAGCGCTGGTGCTGCCGTAGCCGTTCGGCTGGGGTCACAGTACGACCGAAGAGCGCTTCCTGGTGTGTCTCTCTAGTCAGGTATGACGTGTGGAATATAGTAGTGGGGTACGCACAACGATGTTCATGATGGTAATGTGTAGTTGAGTGATAGGCAATCGGCTACTCGGGAGGTGGCGGTATGGAGGCAAGGGACGCGGATTGAATATGACGCGCAGCGCGTAATTGAGTTGTGTTCAAGTTGCTGTGCCTTGCGATTTGTCCTTCAACCGCCACGAACCCGCCTACATGTGATACCCTGCAATACTCCATTCATACTGCCTTTCCCTCTGCTATACCGCTTCTCTGATATCACTCTCATAACCTGGCTCCGGAATACCTCGTCTTTCAAGGCGATATCAAACAAACAGTCACACCCTGCCTTGCCTGGATCGCTCTCTGACCCTGCACGACCGATCTCGAGCATTTACGCTATCGGATGCAAGGCGCCGGATGAAGGCTCGACGGCTTTGCGCTGCGTAATCCGTGAAATGAACAATCGCCTTCCGCCCGAGATCCTCACAGAGGAGTTCATGAACGCGCTGTGCAGCCACGCCGAGGACGACCCTGTGCGGGACACCGCCCACTGCCTTTGTGTCATGATAATGACGTAGCTGTCGTAGAACTACTAGAAAAGGACTGAGCCCATGGATTCCGTCCTTACAATCTTACCCTTTCCCACATCCTTCACGTCTATTGTACCCTACCCGTAGTAGCTAGTGCACAATATACACCATCCACAGGCACGTGAGTCGAATCTTTATCAATCGGAACCCCAAGAGACCCAACAGTGAGGCCGCGCGCGTTCGACAGCCTGACAGGCGATCTGGCAAAGATCGTCTCAAACAAAGACGATGGTGATGGGGAGAGGATGAGCTACGGGAACCAACGCGGATCCTTCTGGTCGTAGCGAGCGACTGTTGCTTATCTCGGCTATCCAAGGGGATGCTGCAGCGCACGGCGGATCCTCATTTATTGCCGTTTGCAAAAACATTGGCGCGGCGCGACTCGACGGCCGTTTCGCGCGTTTTCGCACGAAAAACTTGTGTACGCGATAGCTCGAGAACGGCTACAGGTACTGCCGTTCTGACTAGATATATCAGCTCGCGTAGTTGATTATATTGCGGCCCCGTGTTTGCTCGAGCGAAACGGACAAGTACTCGTATAGATAGGATAGTGGGCCTCAAAAAGCAATGTGTGCACTACTGTAGGATGAGGAATGTACATAAAAGGGAAATAAAAATATGTCAGGATAGCTAGAAGTGTACAGAGTGCGGCCCCATGTTAAAAGCTGGGGGTAGCGGTCGGTTTGAGCGTACTGTGAGCCGCGCTTGGTTAGGGCCGTCTCCCCAGAGTCTGCAACGAATATCACGAAAACACGTACAGATGTGAGTGCGCCTCGAGCGGCAGCCACATTCTCCTTGCCAGAGGCTACTATTCCGACTACTGTATGCCCGATGCGGGGGCCATTCGCTAGCGCTAGAGCCGAGTCGTGACGATGCGCTGGCAGACCGACTGCGCAACAGCCGGTCCCACCAGACCAGACCACACCGCCGTATTGCACAACTTGTAACATGCAGCCGTGGCCCTTTGCATGGAGAACACGGCTGCGTTCAACACGGTGTAACGCTCGTGCACACTCTCACGGTACGAGCTGTACACCGTGAGAAGACCCCTCAGACAAAGCGCGGCTCACAGTACGCTCAGACCGACCGCTACCTCCTACTTTTAACATGGGGCCGCACTCTGTACACCTCTAGCTATCCTGACATATTTTTATTTCCATTTTATGTACATTCCTCATCCTACAGTAGTGCACACATTGCTTTTTGAGGCCCACTATCCTATCTATACGAGTACTTGTCCGTTTCGCTCGAGCAAACACGGGGCCGCAATATAATCAACTACGCGAGCTGATATATCTAGTCAGAACGGCAGTACCTGTAGCCGTTCTCGAGCTATCGCGTACACAAGTTTTTCGTGCGAAAACGCGCGAAACGGCCGTCGAGTCGCGCCGCGCCAATGTTTTTGCAAACGGCGGTAAGCACCGTGTTGAGTAGCTGATGGGCCATGAAGATGGAACCACTCTTGTATGTATGTCACAACTGGACTGAAGTGAGAGAGGGCGGCTTATGGCGAGGGACTAGAATTGGGCGATGATAAATCCGTTGATCATGGCAAGATGCGAAGTGGCCCGCGCGAGGCGCGTCGCATCATCGCATATACTCAGCCTGCGTGATGCCCACCATCTCTTACCTCACGTTCATAGATCATTCTCATGAATACAATCTCACACCGACGGCGTTCCCAGATTTGACCAGTGCAGCGCCGGTTCAAAAGCGTGATGTCCGACGACGCACGCACGTTGGAATCGCCGTCGATTGTCCAACCGCCCGCCCGCCTCTCAATCCCAGTACAAGCCGTCGAACGCAACTTACATACTAAGGTCCACGTCAAGACATACCTTGGATTGCACAAGAACGCACAAGAACACAAGCAAGAATGCGAAGATACAGAAACAATATTTATTTGCCATTTTACAAATAATACATCTCTAGACGCAGAAAGACGTCGTGAAACGGGAAAGAACATCTCTAACTGCCCAGAACTAGTGTTGCCCGTGAGAGATGCCCGAAGCACTGATGCTGGAAGTCAAGATATGCAATGGATGGAGAGACTCTAAGACATACAGCAGCAGATCCGGAGAGTAGATGTAATGGTGCTAGGGAACCTATGGAGGGGGGATGTGAGCGAAGCAGTCAAAAGCGGTGCGGCTCGCTGCAAGATGTGCGCGAAAGGCGAGCGTCACCGTCCGGCCGATATACAAGCCTCCATCGTACAGGGACGAAGGAGAACACCGCTACAGCCCTTACGCTCTGGCAGGTGCGCACCGCGACGCTTACAAGCACAGAACTTGGGGGCCGCGCGAAGCCCATGTGAGGAGGTCATGGCCA